TCGTTTCTCTCTTTCCAGAATGGAAATAGTACAGTATGAAGCACTTTATGTTGACTTATTTTGGTGAAGTCCAAATATAATTTTTATGGATCATATTTTTATGTCATATCTAATAAATCTTTTCTTAACCCAAGGTCACAGTGACTTTTTTCAACAGTTCTGTGAGCTATAATTCACATAATATAAAACTGACCCACCTAAAGCATACAATTCAGTGCTTTTCAATATATTCACTGAGTTGTACAACTATCACCAATTTTACAGCATTTTCATGTCCCCTCCTCCCAAAGAAACCCCATGCCCATTAGCAGGCACTCCCTGGATCCGTTTCCTATTACTGCAGACTGGGTGGCTTAAAACAGTATTAACTTATTATCTCGCCATTCTGAAGGCAGAAGTCTGAAGTCAGTATCACACTGTACTGAGATGAAGATGTCGACAGGGCTACAGTCTCTCCAGAGACTCTAGGGAAGAATTTGTTCCTTGCCTTTCCATCTTCAGGTAGCCGCCAGCATTCTTTGGTTTGGGGCTGTTTTACTCCAATCTTCAAGGCCAGCATCTTCAGTCTCCCTCTGCTCCATCTTCACATCACTTTCTCCTCTTTGTGTTCAAATCCCCCTCTGGCTGTCTTACATAAGGATATGTGTGATTGCATGTAGTTCCCATCTATGTAATCCAGGATAATCTCCCCATCTCAAGATGTTTAACTTATTCACATCAGCAAAGATCTTTTTTTTTTTTTGCCATATAAGGTAACAATCACAGGTTCCAGGGATTAGGACACAGATATCTTTTAAGAGGACATTTATCAGCTTACCACAGTCCCCATTCCTACAGTCTCGGGCAATATATTTATTATATATACAATCCCAGGCACTAATATTTTTGTCTTTATAGACAAAAAAATCAAAACTTATTTAAAAAAAATAATCAAAAATTTCTTGATCAATTCTGGACATGTCATAAAAATATAATTGAACAATATGTGTTCCTTGTGACTGGATTCTTTCATTTAGCAGAATGTTTTTCAGGCTTGTCCATGTTGTAGCTGTACTTGTGCTATATGTTGTATTAATACTCCATTCCTTTGAAAGGCTGAATAATATTCCACTGAATGAATATATATGTTTACCATTTATCTTAACAGATATTTTATTTGTTTCCACTATTTAACTACTATAAGCAGTGTTACTATGACTATTCATGTACAAGTTTTTGTGTGGACATATGTTTTCATTTCTCTTGAGTACATAACCAATAGTAGAACTACTGGATCATATGGCAACTCTACGTTTAACATTTTCAGGAACTCTCACATAGTTTTCAAAAGTCTCTGCAAATTTTTCACCCTCTCCAGCAATGTATGAGTGCTCTCATTTCTCTACAATCTCTCCAATACTTGTATTGGCTTTCTGTTTATAGCCATCCAGTGAATGTACTTATGTTTTGAATTGTAGTTACCTAACAATTAATGATATTGCGCAGCTTCATCTTGAGCATGTACAATTTGCTCATTTGTATACCCTTGGAGAAATATTCATTCAATTGTGTTGTATGTCTTTTATAGCATTTGCACAATATTGTGCCACCTTTTTCTGGCTTCCATTGTTTCAGATGAGAAATTCACTACAATTAGAATTGGTGTTCCTTTATAGATAATTATTTCTCTCTGGCCATTTTAAAGATATTTTCTTTGTCTTTACTTCTCAGAAGGCTATCTATGCTGTGTCTTGGTGTCTATTTCTTTGGGCTTATTATATTTGTGATAAAATCAGATTCTTGGATTTGTAGCTTTAGGTCTTTGGGCAGATTTGATTAGACGTTTCTTTGAATACATTTTCAGGCTCACATTTTTTCTCCTTTCCTTCTGGGACTCTGAGGATGCAAAGATTAGCTCTTATGTTAATGTCCTGCAGATAGCTGACATTCTGTTCATTTATTTTCAGTCTGTTTTCTCTCTGATCAGACTGAGTAAATTTTCTCAGTCTGCCTTCCAGTTAACTAATAACATCCTCTGTCATCTCCACTCTCCTATGGAGTCCACGTAGTCAGCTTTTAATTTTGGTTATTGTTGTTTTTAATTCCCACATATTCTATTGTTATTCTGTTCCCAAAAGAATAAAAAAGAGTAAATGGAAAGAAGAACTACTAATACTTGAAAAAATAGTACTGAGGATTTTTCAGAATTAAACAAATATCTAAGACTTCAAATTGAATGTGTTCAGAGAGTTCCAAATAGAATGGATAATTAAATAGTCCATATTAAACACACTATAATAAAAATTCAAAGGGAAAATTATAAAAATATTGCAGAGATAAAAGTGGTCAGTAAAGATGAATAACTATCAGATTGTTATCCGACATTTCCATAGCAACACTGCGAAGGTAAGAAAACAATGAAATATGTTCAAAATTTTGAAGAAGTATATGTCTTTTACATGTTAACTTATGATATAGAATTTGCTACATGTTAACTTATGATATAGAATTTGCCACCCACTTGAAAATTGTGGTTAAGAGAACTATGACAATTTTGAGGCCAAGGATGTTAAGATAAAATATTTAAAAGTTATAACTAAATGCTAGCTCTTAGCATCTGATTGAGGAAGACCTATTTTTGTTTAGTCCACTTTTATCCCACCACCAATGTTCTTTAAGTGAAGCTCAACATTTCCATACTGTAAGTGAACCCATCCCAATCTGCTGCAGTTGCATAAGTTCAATAAATTGAGAAAGGATTGGGTTCAGTCACATATGACTGAAAACCAAATAGCAGTGGCTTCAACACACAACTGTTTATTTTTAGGTATCATTTTAATTATGAAAATTCCCAAGAAGGCACAAAAGTATCTCACAAAAAAGAAATAATCGGCCAGGCACGGTGCCTCATGCCTGTAATTCCTGCACTTTGGGAGGCTGAGGCGGGCAGATCACCTGAGGTCAGCAGTTTGAGACCAGCCTGACAAACATGATGAAACCCCATCTCTACTAAAAACACAACAGATTAGCTGGGGGTGGTGGCAGGCGCCTGTAATCCCAGCTACTCAGGAGGCTGAGGCAGGAGAATTGCTTGAACCCGGGAGGCAGAAGTTGCAATGATCCAAGATCGCACCACTGCACACCAGCCTGGGAAACAAGACAAAACTCAGACTCAAAAAAAATTTTTTTTGAAGATAATTATACATCTATCCCCTATGTAGCATCACTCAGTTACATTTACTCTTGCCTTCCATTTTTTTTTATTGGCAATACCATTCCATAGGTTGTGCTGTTTACTTCACATAGACTCACAGAAAATAATCTCTAGTGTCTAGATTCGTGTTTTGGGCAACACAAGCTGACAGCATTACTCAGACATCTGAGATCATAAAACCCAGCCGATGCCATCTGGGTATAAGTCCTAAAGGAAGTCTCACCTGATTCCACCAGAGAACATGATGGACAATATTCCTCACTGTATTGTTTGCAATATGGAGAAGTGAAGGCAAAACAGCACATGCACCCTGGGTTTGGAATGATACACTGTGGAATATGTACACAACGGAATAAGCACTGAAAAGTGGGCTGTGTATATGTACCCGGGAAGGAACAAAACGAATATATGAAAAAGGTCTATCACAATTTCTTACATGTAAGTTAAAATACAGTCACAGAAAGAAAAGCTGCATGCTTTACAAGAATATATTCAAATTTAAGGTTACATATCAAACGTATTAGAGTGGTTGCCTCGGAGGGGAAGGCAAGTGGAAATAGGGAATGAGGATTAAAAAAAAAAAGAAAGCAAAAGTGGTGCCTCTCACAGATAGGTGATGGTCATGTGGCAGGAGCAGAGATATACATGAAGAGACTTCTGTTTGATGCCTGTATTAGTCCCTTTTCATACTGCTATGAAGAAATACCCGATACTGGGTAATTTACAAAGAAAAAGAGGTTTGATGGACTCACAGTTCCACATAGCTAAGGAGGCCTCACAATCATGGCAGAAAGTGAAGGAGGAGCAAAGGCACATCTTACATGGTGGCAGAGAGCATGTGCAGGGGAACTGGCCTTTATAAAACCATCAGATCTTATGAGACTTATTCACTATCAGGAGAACAGGAAGGGAAAGCTCACCTCCACGATTCAATTACCTCCCACCAGGTCCCTCCCACAACATGTGGTGATTATGGGAGCTACAATTCAAGATGAGACTTGGGTGGGGACACAACCAAACCACATCAATGCCCCTCTCCAGAAAGAGCAAAAGAAAATGGTACTCTCTCTGTTTTTTGTTTGTTTGTTTTTGTTTTTTTTTTTTAGCCTGTTGCTCAGGCTGAATTGCAATGGCGCAATCTCGGCTCACCGCAACCTCTGCCTCCCAGATTCAAGCGATTTTCCTGCCTCAGCCTCCTGAGTAGCTGGGATTATAGGCATGTGCCACCATGCCCAGCTAATTTTGTATTTTTAGTAGAGATGGGGTTTCTCCATGTTGGTCAGGCTGGTCTCGAAACCCTGACCTCAGGTGATCCACCCACCGTGGCCTCCCAAAGTGCTGGGATTACCGGCATGAACCACCGCGGCTGGCCAGAAAATGGTACTCTCTTTATGGTGGCCTTTTTCAGGGCTGGCATTCAGCTGCTATGCACTGGTACCCCAAATTGGTTGTTCATGGTGAACCCCCATTCTGAGTAGTCAACCCCAGCCTCGCTATGTTACCTGGTTCGAAAATGACTGTGCCCCTTCTTGTTTCACAGATGTGTGCTCCTCTTGCGTTCCCCAAAACATTTATCTTTCTCCTACCATCAATTATTGTTAGTTCAACTTAATTTTCTCTTTTAGGCTACGAATCTCCTCACACATTAAACATACAAAATTTTGACCCCTGATGATCAGATTCCATTGAATGTTCTGGGTCCTGTTTTAGGCTGCTGAATCCACTGCTCTTGTCATTTTAAGGCATCTGATTTTTTCATTTACTTCTAGGACTTCCTCAGTTTCCAGTCTGCTGATTACAGCCTTTCTTAGTTTCAATTTTATCGTTTATTTTTAAGTCACTTCTCTCTCATTTAGGGTGGAAGGGGAGGAGGTTGAGGGGATACATCTGCCCTCTTGCTCAGTTGCCCCTGACACATTTCAGTTTAGAGGTTGAATTTAATTAAGCACAAGAGGAAACTGATAGGACTCTCGGGCAGACCACAGGCAACAAACAGGGAAAATGTGAGGGATCCTGGAGACCTGCTGAGGTGGGGCTGAGAAAACCACAGAGTGCTGGAGACGAGGGCTGGCACAGCTGAAGATGCTGAGCTGGGCGTTGACCCGGATACAGAAACCCCCGCCCCAGGTCTTCCCAATGGCGAAAGGCAGGGCAGCCGAAGTAGATGTAAGAGGGCTCTGGGCAGGGGTGAGGGGTCACCACCGGGGAGATCAGGGGCTGAAAGTTCTCGCCAATAGGCTTAGCGCTGGCCTTTCCTCACGGGGAGGTGGGGCGCAATGCTTAGGGCGGCTCCCAGTAGCTGGGCAGGGGAAGAACTGGGATTCATCCTGGATCCGCGCTGTGGCTCACGCACCCAAGGGTTCTGGGGCAAGGCTGGGCTAATACAATCAGAAACCTCCGTCATTGCTGTCCTGAAATGTGGCAAGAGAAAGAAAGTCATGAATGCATGTGATGCTTTCCCTGATCCTCTTTCCTGCCACTTTGTTTCACCCTGTCCTTGTTACCTGTTCCTCCTCTTTCCCTCCTTTCTCCCTGTCACCTGCTTCCTTCACTGCCCCTTCCTGTCTCCTAAACCTTCTACCCAGGCATTCTCAGCTTTGTCCTCCTGGCCTTGTTCCTTTCAGGACAAAGACAGAGGCAGAGCCCTAGGATGGGACTCCTACAAAGCCTCTGTCTTTTTCTAAGGTCTGTGTCTGCAGGAAGGCAGAGATTGCAAGAAAACACATATTTAAATTGGACTCAGCTGTCATTTTTCCTGCCTCTGTGATCTGTCTTCTTTTTTCTAGCCGTCTTTCTAGGAACAGCATCTGACTCCAGCTCCATTGCCCCCCAGGCCAAATCCAGGCCCCACTCACCTGTGGCACCTGCAGGTCAGGAACACAAACAGGACTCACAGCATCAGGGCCTTGGCCAGGAGGAGTCCACATAGCACAGAGACCAGGAGTTTGGGGTCAGCTGAGCCAGGGCAGATGGGGCACTTGATTTCCTGCAGGGAGGAAGGAGAAAGGAGGATGGACTTGGGCCAGGATGTCACCTGCTGCTGCTGTGTCCCTTAGCCAGGCCCCTTGTGGCTGGAGCTACTTGTATAAGGGCTCACCCTGAACTCACTATGACACAGGGGTGTGGGGCAGGAGCCACAGAGGTCTCTGGGACTGAGAGGAGACCTAGGCAGAAGGAACCTCAAAGTCTTGAATGGAGGAAAAAGCTGGCCAGGGGAAGAACAAGGGATTGGAGGTCAGGGAAGGGGAGGGATAGAGCCAGGGGAGCAGGAACTCTCCCTAACTAGGTCGGGTAGAACAGGACTATCAGGAGCCTCCTAGGAATCAGAGCCAAGTGCATCTTTAAGACCAGCCAAGATATCACACCTGAAGGAATGAGGCCCAGACACTGCACAGGACCTGACTAGACCCTTAGGAGCAGTGACAGAGCACAGACCTAGACCTCCTGTCTGCTGGTGCCAGGGGTCCTCCCAGGTCCCCTCTGTGTGGCACCTACTCCTGGCCTCCCTAGCTCTGATTCTGGGACTACCCTGTCCTAGCAAATCTGCTTTTCTCTTGTGGCCTCAGTAGCTTCCTGCTTCAGTATTACTTCATATTTGGTAAAGCTAGTGAGTTCTTTTTATTTTCACTTTTTCATGGTTGATTTAGCTAGTCATGCATTGTCTTTTTTTCATTTAATTTCAGAGTAAACTTTTAAAGTTCTTTACAAAAGTAAACTGAAGTTGTGTTTGGGATTGCATTTAAAGACTTGAATTTGGGGGAAATTGACATCTTTACAATGTTATTGCCTCTTCCAAAATCATGGATTATTTCTATTTATTCAGATCAGCAGTCATTTTTTAGCATTTTGTAGTTTTCTCCAAATAGGTCTGGCTTAAATTAATTCTTTCTAGAAACTTAATGATTTTGTTGCTGTAATGAAAACTATCTTAGGTTTCTAAATGATTATTTTTCATAGAGATCTATTTGTGATGTACGTCGGTTGATTTTGTCTCTGGCAACCTTGCTAAATTCTTTTGTGAGATTTAATTGTTTGTTGTTTCTCATTCTTTTTCTGGGTAGATGATCCTATCATCTGCAAGTCATGACGGTTTTTTCTCTTCTTGTCTAATCTTCTTTATTGTAACTTGTTTTCCTTTCCTTCAAGCATTGATCAGAACCTCTAATATTATAGAAGACATTAATAGTAGCTGCAGAAATCCTGAATTTGTTTGTTTATGCTTTCTTCACTAAATAATGTTTATTGTAATCATTGCTGTACAATCTTTACCAAGTTATCTGTTCTTATTTCCATTTTATTAAGAGCTTTTTCATATAACATAAATGTGCTGAATATTCCCAAATGCTTTTTGTGCAGCAGTTGACTTTTTCCCCTGTAGTTTATGAATTTGGTTCACTTATATTAATAGATTTTTCTGAAGTTGAACAATCCTTTCTGTTTTGTGATAAAACTGTACTCGATCGTAATTCAGTCTTCTTTTTGATGCACTCTTGAATTCAGTTAGCTAATGGTAATTTGGGAATTGACTCCACGTGCGTCAGAGAAATAAACCTATAATTTAGTTTTTTTATTTCCCCCTAACTGGTTTTGTGATTTTGATGACACTAGCCCCTTCAAATAACCTGGGCGGTTCTTGCTTCTTTTCTATTTTCTGCAACATCTTGTATGAAATATAAATCAAATGTTTCTTAAACGATTGAGTTACCTGTAAAACCAGGTGAGTCTTGAATTTTCTGTGAGGGTGGAGCTTATCTACCATTCCAGTTTTCCTATTTATTAATCTATTGAAATTTGTTTCTTCTTGTGTTAATCTTTGCAGTTCATGTTTTTTAAGGAATGTGTGCACTTCTAAGGTTTAAAACAACAAGATTTTGTTCAGGATTTATTTATTTTAAAATCTCTATAGAATGAGTGCATGGTTATTTTCTTCTTTTTCTTCAATTTGTTATCATCTTCTTTTATCTTCATTTGTCTTGACAAGAATATGGCTATCTTTTTAAACTTTCAAAGAATGAATTATGACTTGCCTTGATCTTCATTTTCAATCATTCAATTTATTTCAGCCCTTACTGTGATTGTTTCCCTCCTTTATGATTCTTTGGGCATGCCCTGGTGCTCACATTCCATCTTCTTAAGATGCTTCCTTAGCTCATTAATTTGAAAGCTTTCATGTTTTCCAACAAATATATTCAAAGCTACTAATTGATCTCCAATATTAACTATGCCCCATACTTTTTGATATGTAGTGGTGATATTATCAAAATATATTTTATTACATACTTAATAATTCACATATGAATGTATTAATAATTAGTTTTAAAAGTGCTATTTTATCTTTACTTCTCTTATGCATTCTTAATGTTATTGCATTGGGTTTGGAGAATATATTCGGTGTCATACTGATTCTTTGGAATTTCTTCATGTTTCTTATATGTCTTCATACAAGGTGTCTTTTTGTAAATACATTCCTTGTATTTGAAAGAATGTATACTATCTGTTTTTAATTATGTATAGGGTTATAAACATGTGTATATCTACTTATACATAGTTTACATAATATATATTATGAATACTGTATTTTATAAAACATACATAATACATTTATATAGTTTAGAACAGTTTCAATCTGAAACTACATATTTATATATTTGAAAATATTATTTATTTAAAAGTATAATTTATTACATATTCATCCTATATTCTTATACATATCTTATAATATATATAACACATTTATAAATATTATATGATGGCATAGTACCTGGAATTTATTAGTTATTTGGCTTAGAACTTAGATCCCTCTATTTAGTTTTGGTCTGATTGGTCTTTGCTCCTCTGAGAGGTATGTGAGCCTCCAACTACAATAGCTAATATTTACTTCTCCTTGCATTTCTGGTAGTGTTGTTTCATATATTTCATGGCCAAAATTTACGCACATGTGCTTATGATGGCTCTATTTTCACATTCAAGCACATCTTTCATCAGTATATATAGTGTCTCTTTGTCTATTTTATAGACAAATTTATAGACATGATATTTTACCTTAAATTCTATTTTGTTCAATATTAAGAGTACCAGAACAGTATATTTTGTTTCCTAATAGTCAAATATAGTTTTTTTTTTTTTTATACTTTAAGTTCTAGGGTACATGTGGATAACGTGCAGGTTTGTTACATATGTATACCTGTGCCATGTTGGCATGCTGCACCCATCAACTCGTCAGCACCCATCAACTCATCATTTACATCAGGTATAACTCCCAATGCAATCCCTCCCCCCTCCCCCCTCCCCATGATAGGCCCCGGTGTGTGATGTTCCCCTTCCCAAGTCCAAGTGATCTCATTGTTCAGTTCCCACCTATGAGTGAGACATGCGGTGTTTGGTTTTCTGTTCTTGTGATAGTTTGCTAAGAATGATGGCTTGAATTGGTCTGATGCGGTTTGATCCAGTCTGATCCGGTCTGAGCCGGTCAAAACCGGTTTGATGCGGTTTGATCCGATCTGATCCGGTCTGAGCCGGTCAAAACGGGTTTGAACTGGTCTCATCCGGTTTCATCCAGTCTGATCTGGTTCGATCCGGTTTTAACCGGTCTGATCTGGTCAAAATCGGTTCGATCCGGTCAAAACCGGTTTGATCCGGTCTGAGCCGGTCACAATCGGCTTGAACCAGTCTGATGCGGTTTGATCCGGTCTGATCTGGTCTGAGCCGGTCAAAACCGGTTTGATGCGGTTTGATCTGGTCTGATCCGGTCTGAGCCAGTCAAAACCGGAGCCGGTCAAAACCGGTTTGATGCGGTTTGATCCGGTCAAAACCGGTTTGAACTGGTCTGATCCGGTTTCATCCGGTCTGAACCGGTTCCATCCGGTTTGAGCCGGTCTGATCCGGTTTGATCCGGTCTGAGCCGGTTACAACTGGCTTGAACCGGTCTGATGCGGTTTGATCCGGTCTGATCTGGTCTGAGCCGGTCAAAACCGGTTTGATGAGGTTTGATCCAGTCTGATCCGGCCTAAGCAGGTCAAAACCTGTTTGAACTGGTCTGATACGGTTTCATCCGGTCCGATCCGGTTCGATCCAGTTTGATCCAGTCTGATCTGGTCAAAATCGGTTCGATCCGCTCAAAACCGGTCTGATCCTTTTTGATCCGGTTTGATCCGGTCTGATCCGGTTTGATCCCGTCAAAACCGGTTTGATCCGGTGTGATCCGGTTGGATCCGGTCTGATCCGGTTTGATCTGGTTTGAACCGGTTTGATCTGATTAGATCCAGTCTGATCCGGTCACAACCGGCTTGAACCAGTCTGATCCGGTTTGATCCGGTTTGATCCGGTGTGATCTGGTCTGACCCGGTTTGAACTGGTCTGATCCGGTTTGATCCGGTTCGATCCGATCCGATCCGGTTAGATCCAGTCAAAACCGGTTTGATCCGGACCGATCCGGTTTCATCCGGTTTGATTTGGTCTAAGGCGGTTCGATACGGTCTGATCCGGTTTGATCCGGTCAAAACCGGTTGGAACCGGTCTGAACCGGTTTGATCCGGTGTGATCCGGTTTGATCCGTTCTGATCCGGTCTGATCCGGTCTGATCCGGTTCGATCCGGTCTGATCCGGGTTGATCCGGTTTGAACGGGTTTGATCCGGTCTGAGCCGGTCACAACCGGTTTGATCCGGTCTGATCCAGTTCGATCCGGTTTGATCCGGTTTGATCCGCTCTGAGCCAGTCACAACCGGCTTGAACCGGTCTGATGCGGTTTGATCCGGTCTGATCCGGTCTGAGCCAGTCAAAACCGGTTTGATGCGGTTTGATCCGGTCTGAGCCACTCAAAACCGGTTTGAACTGGTCTGATCCGGTTTCATCCGGTCTGATCCGGTTTGATCTGGTCTGAGCCGGTCAAACCGGTTTGATGCGGTTTGATCCGGTCTGATCCGGTCTGAGCCGTTCAAAACCGGTTTGAACTGGTCTGATCCGGTCTGAGCCGGTCAAAACCGGTTTGATCTGGTCTGAGGCATTCAAAACCGGTTTGATGCGGTTTGATCCGGTCTGATCCGGTCTGAGCCGGTCAAAACCGGTTTGAACTGGTCTGATCCGGTTTCATCCGGTCTGAACCGGTCTGAACCGGTTTGATCCGGTCACAACCGGCTTGAACCGGTCTGAACCGGTTTGATCCGGTCCGAGCCGGTCACAACCGGCTTGAACCGGTCTGATGCGGTTTGATCCGGTCTGATCTGGTCTGAGCCGGTCAAAACCGGTTTGATGCGGTTTGATCCGGTCTGATCTGGTCTGAGCCGGTCGAAACCGGTCTGATCCGGCTTGATCCGGTTTCAACCGGTCACAACCGGTTTGATCCGGTCTGATCCGGTTCGATCTGGTCTGATCCGATTCATCCGGTCTGATCCGGTTCCATCCGGTTTGAACTGGTCTGAACCGGTTTGATCCGGTCTGAACCGGTCTGAACCGGTTTGATCCGGTCCGAGCCGGTCACAACCGGCTTGAACCGGTCTGATGCGGTTT